GGAAAAAGAACTTAACAGCAAAGTAAAAAATACTACTGGAAAATCTAGACCATCCTGGAAGGAGTTAAATGAAGAAAGAAGTTAACAGTGGATTCAGAGGCTAAAGGAACAGAGCAGTTTATTCTGTCTCTTCACTCCCATAAATTCTTGAAATCAGGGGCTGCCTTAACATTACTATATAAAAATAATAGCACTCAATATTTGTGGAATGAAGAGTACAGGAATGAAAAGGTGAATGAACATTGTACCTAAAAGGCAAGGATGACTAATCATTGAAAAATTGGTTATCCAAGATAATGTATTTGTTTCCAGGATCGCACTCCTGACTCTGGAGGCTGAACCTAGAACCCAGCACATTAAGTCAAAGTCTTGACTGTTTGCCTGGTTCCAGTTATATCTCCTTTCTCCCAGGCCTAGACTCAACAGAAAGTGGCATCATGCTACCAAGTTAATTATAATATTGACTTCAAGAAACATAGGCATGAGTAGTGTGCTCAAAACTAAATGCATGATGTGCCCAACCTTTCTCTCTTGCTGGTTTCCAGTTCTGTCCCCACTTGCCAGATCTTATCCCTCAACCCATACTCTCTGAAGACAGGCCTTACGGGGTGGGTTCTTTTGAAGGCTGAGTGGGAATTTAAGAAGTAATTGGTAGCAGAGATTGATGGTGTTGCATTTTTATAGAGTGTAGGGTAGGAGAAACATGAGAACTCCCATTGTTGGAAAGATATGGGAAGAAAAACAAGGATAAAAATTTTATGAAACTTTTCTAAGTCACCTAATGATTGGAATGTTGTGTGGTGCTATTAACTCTTAAAATTGCACTCCCCCGGTAGGGTCCTCAGGCTTTCCTGCCACCATGGCTGACAAGGAAGCAGCCTTTGACGATGCAGTGGAAGAACGTGTGATCAACGAGGAGTACAAGATATGGAAAAAGAATACACCGTTTCTTTATGACTTGGTGATGACCCATGCTCTGGAGTGGCCCAGCCTAACAGCACAGTGGCTTCCAGATGTAACCAGACCAGAAGGGAAGGATTTCAGCATTCATTGACTTGTCCTGGGGACGCATACATCAGATGAACAAAACCACCTCATGATAGCCAGCGTACAGCTCCCTAATGATGATGCCCAGTTTGATGTGTCACACTACGACAGTGAGAAAGGAGAATTTGGAGGTTTTGGCTCAGTTAGTGGGAAAATTGAAATAGAAATTAAGATCAACCATGAAGGAGAAGTAAACAGGGCCCGTTACATGCCCCAGAACCCTTGCATCATTGCAACAAAGACACCATCCAGTGATGTTCTTGTTTTTGACTATACAAAGCATCCTTCTAAACCAGACCCCTCTGGAGAGTGCAACCCAGATTTGCGTCTCCGTGGACATCAGAAGGAAGGCTATGGGCTTTCTTGGAACCCGAATCTTAGTGGGCACTTACTTAGTGCTTCAGATGACCATATCATCTGCCTATGGGACATCAGTGCTGTTCCAAAGGAAGGAAAAGTGGTGGATGTGAAGACCATCTTTACAGGACATACAGCAGTAGTAGAAGATGTTTCCTGGCATCTGCTCCATGAATCTCTGTTTGAGTCAGTTGCTGATGACCAAAAACTTATGATTTGGGATACTCGGTCAAACAACACTTCCAAACCAAGCCACTCAGTTGATGCTCACACTGCAGAAGTGAACTGCCTCTCTTTCAATCCTTACAGTGAATTCATTCTTGCCACAGGATCAGCTGACAAGACTGTTGTTTTGTGGGATCTAAGAAATCTGAAACTTAAGTTGCATTCCTTTGAATCACATAAGGATGAAATATTCCAGGTTCAGTGGTCACCTCACAATGAGACTATTCTGGCTTCTAGTGGTACTGATCGAAGACTGAATGTCTGGGATTTAAGTAAAATTGGAGAAGAGCAGTCCCCAGAAGATGCAGAAGACGGCCCACCTGAGTTGTTGTTTATTCATGGCGGTCATACTGCTAAGATATCTGATTTTTCCTGGAATCCCAATGAACCTTGGGTGATTTGTTCTGTATCAGAAGACAATATCATGCAAGTGTGGCAGATGGCTGAGAACATTTATAATGATGAAGACCCAGAAGGAAGTGTGGATCCAGAAGGACAAGGATCTTAGATATGTTTGAACTCGTGATTTTAGACTCCCCTTTTTTTCTCTCAACCCTGAGATTGATTTAACACTGGTTTTGAGACATACAGACTTTGTTCAGCTATCCCTCCATAATAGGTACCACCAACAATGCTGTTAGCTCCCAGAGTGGGTATTTTCTAAATATTAACGGGGGTACTTTATTCAGCAAAGCCACAGATGTATATTTAAATTTTCTTTAGGAATTTTCTAGTAACAAACCCAGGTCTAAGGTAGCTACAAAAATGGGAATATAATGTGTGGTTATTGTTCTTTTTAAGCTATATCCCCAAGTTTTTCAGATTTGTTTCGGTAAAGGTTAGAGTGAGTAAGGAATAGAGCCAAGTGAGGTTAGGTGTCTGAGCCATGAAGTATAAGTACTGCAGGATGTCATTTTATTCAGGAATTAGGGGAGAATCAAGTCGTAGATTCATACTCTAAATGATACCTGACTTTCCAGGATGCATATTTTCCTATGTAGACCAGTCTCCTCCTGGTTTCTTCAATTAAGTCAAAGCTACATGTTCCTCCTTCCCCATATGTTTTTGCTTGTTAGTGTATTTCTTGAGCTGTTCTCATATTACTCCTTTCCTTTCTATGAAATGGTTTTTGTTGTTTTAACTTGGGACCACTAAGTTGTAAAGATGTATGTTTTTACCTGACAGTTGTGCCTCAGGTAGACTGTCAAGTTGAGAAGGGTGATTTGATAGCTTGTATTTGTTTTTAAAATTAAATTAATCCTTGATAAGAGTTGCTTTTTTTTT